ATTATAATTATCATTTCTTATTATTATTATCTCTTCTATTTCCATATTTTGTATAACTCATTTATGTATTTAAAGGCAGGAATTCTCCTTTTCAAGAATTCTCAGGATTTTATCAAACAATAAAATTATTTTGATCCCGAAAGTATCAAATTGCCTCTTTCGCCTAACTATAAGTAATAAACCTCTTGTTAAATTGTTGTCCAAACTAGGAACTTTTGCATATCACATTAGACTCTAACTTGGTGCATCCCTGCAATAGTTCTCCGTCTCTATCTGATTCCTAAGAGGTGAATTGGATAGGTTAACAGTAGAGATTAAATTATTTGTCTAATGTTCCATTGTGGCATATTCTTCATCCAATTGAGGTTATTCGACTACATATTGGTATTATTGATTAGGTGCAAATGATCTTAAGATCTCTCTGATCTCTCAATATTCATGCTAATAAAGAATAGGCATGACACTCTTAAGGCATAGTCATTGTTTTATATTTTTTTGAGTCTAGCATTCTTTTTTCTTTCTTGATAGGAGGGTATATTCTTTCTCTTTCACTTAGCCAAAGATGTAGGAGTTGGTAGTGTTCATTATCCACTCATACCAAGGTATAATGATTTATAGTAGACCTTAGGTTCTTATGGAGTTGAGGAAATGCATTTGAACAAGTGAAGTGACCAATAGGAGCTTGTTTACTTTTTTTATTAATGTGAGCTCTGTCTGCCCAATCACAGTGTGAGAAACTTTGTGCTACTCAAAATTCAGGGTCAAACTGAGATAGGCAAAATTTTCCAGAAAAAACCAAGAACGAGCACTATAAAAAGCAAAAAAATGATAAGAGAGTGAAAAAAGTTGTCTCTCATCATACAACACTTCTGTGATACTTCTCTATGATGTGAGATAGCGGCACATTAGTTTTTCTTCCTTTCAGAACTTTCTTGTCATGGATAGGAAAGGTGTTTCTTGATCTTTAAGGTCACTAGAGGTCAAGTTTTTGTTTGAAAAGGATAGTAAGCAAGAGGAGTGAAGATAGTTAATGGCTTTTGAAGCTTCTTCAAGTTGGTTTAAGGAAAGTGATAAGACTTTGTTAGCTTAGAAATATAAAAACTTCTTGTAAACATCTTTTTTGTATATGGTTAAAGGATCAGCGAAAAGAGTTAATAATAATTAATTTATATATTAAATTGGTTTTAATTTTACTTTATAATAATTAAAATTAATTTTATTTCAATTTTTGTTATTTTTAATATTAATATCTTTATTTATATATAAACTTTTTATAGGCTACTTAATAAATGTTCAAAGTAATAATAATAATAATAATTAAATATTGAATATTAATATTAAGGTTTTAACATTTTTTGTCTTTAATAATATTATTGCAAAATCCTAGAAATAGAAAAAAAAAACCAGAAAAAAAATTTTAGAGATATATATTAAAAAGAAGATTTAAACGTTCTAAATAATAATAAATAAAAAAAGAATAAAAATTTTAGTAAAAAATAAAATATAATTATATCTCCTAATAAAATCCTATAAATGCGAAAATTAAAACAGGGGACAAATTATTTTTTTTAAAAAAATCAACAGATCCCAATATTAAAACAATCAAAACACTTACAATAATTGTTTTCTTTTTCACGTATGCATATCCGTGATGTGCATAGAATTTTCTGGTCAATCATGTTATGCACCATAAACAATGTCGAAAAGATGTTCCATCTATTGTTTTAGCACACGGCACATCAACATAAGGTAGATCTGGGTCATGTACAGTGATCAACCTGCGAAAATTATTTTCAATGGAGGGGATGTACATGACTTAAAACATCGATCAAGAATTAACTGTCACCCGACTTGAATTATGTTTCCCGGATGTGATGAAGAAAGTGGACTTGCGTCCTGGGTTGCTGGTGGACGAAAGTTTTAAAATGATGATGAGTAACCACTACAAATTATCATAAAAGCACCTGGCATATATTCAATTTTATTGAACAGATTATGCTTTTGCGATGTTAACTAACCCAACTATGGATTTATTATAATCGACGCTAAAACGTAAATATGACGAATTGGAAGATTTAAACAAGACCTTAAGTGCAATGGGGGGAAAGTTCCTCGATAAAAACCTGCTGAGATGGTATAAACATCAAATATCTCGGAAACAAAAGCAAGAAAGATAATTAGATATTTCGAGTTAAACCCTTTGGAAATAAGTATACGCCTCCTGATTATCAAAATTTTAGCGGGAAAATTTAAACATATTAAACTCAGCCATTTTTATGGGATGTGGGAGGAATGGTTTAAGAAAACATTAGACCTACAAAAAGATTTCGTGTAAGGATATTCATGCACAAATTTAGAGCGAAATTTTAAAACCACCAGTTTCATTTTAACTGATGGCGCCGACATTTCTATCGGTCTAGCCGCTAGTTCCCGTGTTTGATCGTAATTAAATAAGAAAGGAGATCTCTAGAATTGGTCAGGTTATCGGTTAATTATTATCAAGTACGTTCTAAAACCTATGTCTATCTTAACATTGCAATGGATATTGGATTATTTTCTTTTTTTCGGAAGCAGAAAACCTGGAAACATGTTTATAATAAATTATCGCAGTATCGCTTTGGCAATAATTAAACAGTTCATGTCAAACAAATGTACTCCAACTACTTAAAATTAGAAAAAATTTTCTTCCAACATACCCGAGAAGGTTGGAAGAGTGGTCTACATAGTCAACGATGTAAAAAAAAAGAAAGAAAGAAAGAACGAATTCAATAACTGATATACGCATAACATAAATACTGATTTGCTACGGATACTGTAATTCTTTTGTATGCGATATTATTTTTACTCTTCATTAGCACTTTCATTAGCATTCTACCAATTTTTTTTAAAAAAAAAAATGGAATCAATAAATAATCCCAAGTCTAATTCTCGTGTCATATTTAGGTTATACAGTACTAATAATTTTTTATTTATCGTTATATTTAAGTAATTAAAAGGTTGTTGTTATTATCGAAAAAAAAACATTTTATAATAAAAGATCAACTATATTTCATAACAAATTTTAAGAGAAAGATTCTATATACGCAATTGATTAACTCGATCTACAATTCATAACAAAGAAAAAGATAATCCTGTGAAAATAAGGAGTTGTTGAATGAGTTAAATATCATATCTTCTTAGGGAATATCATATCAAGCGGGGATTGGGCCAAGGAACACGGAAACAATTGCGCAGAGGATTATGGAAACGACTGATGCCCACAAACAGGAGAATAAATTATTACCATAAATCTGATATAGTGCACCACCAACCAACAAGCCTACCAACCTCCCCATGGCATTTGCCATATAATAAAATCCCACATTTATAACAACTTTATCCTTACGACAGTAAGCCAATATCAGGAAGGAGTGGATCGAGGAATTTACCGCGAACACAAATGCAAAAATAAATAATCCAACGATCAATAGTACAAGGTACAATGTGGTGAGTAGTTTTATGAATGTGAGACAGCATGCTATGAATACTGTTACAGCCAATAGCAAAAGGGTAAAGAATACGAGAGGTTTACCATCCTTTACAGGGTGCATGCGGATCGGCTGCAAAATAAATTGTGGGGTGCCTGATTGTACAGCACCATATAACATTACCCACGCTGCAAGGACGCTGCCCGTGACAATGTATGTCCTATTAAATAAATAATAAAGATCATGAAGACGACTTGATATTTATTTTACTATTATTATCATTGAAAACTTGTTGTACTATACCATCCGGCCGGGCCCCTCAAAAATACAGGCAGTGGTACCTCGAACCACAAATCACGTGAACAAAATAAAAACATCCTTGCAAATGAGAGAATGTTAACATTTCTTCCCTAAGGGAGTTATTTTACGAAAGCTCTTAGTACCAAAAAATTTGTCAATCCAATCAATTACCACAAACGCTATTACCTTATTGAAAATCTTACTTAATACCAACTTGTCTTTCGATGCACTCTCGCCCAAGTGATGATCGAGGTAATACCATGCAAAAGGAATCATCAGGAAATTCATACCTAGCAATACGATCATCGAATACAAATAGCCAGCATATTGCAGTAAGAGAGCGCCGTAGAAAAATCCAATACCCTTTATAGAATTTTTTGCCCCTGTGAGCCAAGCTACCAAATTGAATAATTTGTCCTTGGCGTCTTCTTCCACAACAAGTTTAGCAACCGATTTACCAACGGACTTGACCATGTCTTTTGCGACTCCACAAAGTCCCTGTGCAATAGCTATATAGATCAGCGTGATCTCTTGACTCCAATATGTTCTTAGGCCGCATAATATTGCAATACCAATAACCTGAATCCATAGTCCGATCAGTAGACAAAGACGGAGACCCTGTCGTTCACCCAGAATACCGCCAGCCAAGTTTGTGACAACTCCGAGGAGTTCATATGAGGAGAGAGCCAAAGATATTTGAAAGGCCTGATTTAAAAAATTATATTTAATGAAGGAAACTAAATTCGAAATAAATCAAGGAAAAACAAAATATATACACTATAATGCCGTTTATATAATTCGAATAAAACGACCATCCGCAAAGCGGAATCCGTTAGTGTGAAAATTAGGTATCCCACTGATATAATGTAAAAGTTAATCATGGACACAGTGATCTTTTTTTTTGATGGCACTTCATCGCCTTTTTGAACGGATTTTTCTTGCGGGGGGGATTGCGAATTACTCGTTTCCAACTCCAGGTCGTCATTGACGTTTACTTTTATTTCCGGGTTCTCTCTTTCGGGCATTTTAAATTATTGATGTTTATGACACTGCTTCTATTTCTATTTTTTTTTTTTTTTTTTTTTTTCTTAAAAAAAGGAAAAAAAGAGAGTTCGATGCCCTGTCCTTTTTCATTTTACCTATCACGTTTATTTATCACTTCAAGGTTACACACTGCAGTTGCTTGCTTGGCCTCTATTTTTCCGCATCGAGTGGGATGATCGACAATACTACCATCGAATCGAAAAGATTGGTTGATTGAATTAAAAATTCACCAAATTTGCAAATTAAAAATTCCCCAAAAATGTACAGAAAACAGACATTGTTGCGAACTTATAAATAAGGCGAATTATTAATTGAGTTTAATTTGTTCCAAAAAAGGGGAAAAGAAAAATGGCGCATAATGCACGTTTGAATTAAAAATTCATTTAGATCATCGGCGATCCGTAAATCAAAAGCTGACGTGATAATGTTATACAGTCTTTTAATAATGATTCTCGAAACTCATGGGATCATAAA